ACACATACATATATATACATACATACATGTACATGTAGCGTACATCAACATAGTGGTACAGAAACAAGAATATTAATAAACAAATATTCTTTAAAGAGTTCAACGATGGTTGTAATACTTTTTTAGTGTTTGTAAGTTTGAGAGTCTTAATTCTTTAAATTCACATAAAAGATCCAGTGAGAATGGAGGAAACTCTTTTTTACATTTATGTATATACAATTTATATAATCAATCATTTTACAATTAATTAAATGTTATATTTATAATGTTCAAAATGTGTACTACAAACAGCTATTTACATGTGCATCTACCCAACAGTAGAACACATTCTATTTTAGCCAATAGAGGAACCAAAGTCCTCATTATGCATCATGGTTCATTATAGAATTATATATTTTACATAAGTTGATTATAATGAAGCATCAATGTGGAAGCATCACTGGTAAATGATGTGTGAAACATTAAATTAAATAACAGCAGAGAGTGACGTCAGGGTGTTGTTTTTTTATGGCTGGTTACGTCACCAGGACTGCGCGATGTTGCAGAGTCACTGCGACTGTAAACAAGAAGAGAGAAGAAGAGAAGAAGAGTCTCCATTTAAGCTACAACGTCAGGGCCTTTACGCGTCTGTTGCCCTCTCTTCTTATTCTTTGGTTTGTATTCATTAGTGAGTTATATTCCTGCGGTGCTGGGTGTATCAGCCGTAACACTTTACATAATAAAAGGCACAGGTCCGTGTTTTTCTCCGGAGTCGCACAGAGCTAAGCTAACGTTAGCACCTCTAGCCTTTAGCTTTAGCCGTCGTTAGCTTGTCAACATCCAACGGCCCTGTCGCGAGGGAAACAGCCTTTATGCCCCGGGTATAAAGCTCTCTCTCTTTAACGTGACCAGGATATCCTGAACCGTGAGTATCACCTGCTCGTGTTAAAAAACAAAAACAAAGACGTCCTGTGACTTGCTTAGCTTAGCTTAGCTTAGCAGCTAAAATAGCTTGCTAGCATTAGCCACCAACAGGGTGTGTGGGAGTTCTTATGAAATCTACTGTTTACAAGCAAATGTCTGTTATTGAGTGTGACGTGTCAGATAAATACTCTACGTTATCATAGTTTATTTATAATTTAATACACATCTTGTGTGTTTTTTATGTTTATGGTTGTCGGATCACGTGATGTGTCGGCATATAGAACAACAACACATGATATATTATTATATTAATAATAATAGCTACATGAGCATTATTTCTGTCTGCATCTCCATTTTTTAAATTTAATTCAATTCAATAAAATATTGCATATATATATATATATATATATATATATATATATATATATATATATAAATAATAATATAAATGTATATTATAATATATAATATTATAACATTATAATATGAATTAAACTAATATAATTAGTTTTTATTCATTTAATCCACACCTTGTATTTTTACGTTTGTGGCACCATCAGCCTGTCAATCACATGATGTGTCAGCATATAGAACAATAACATATAGAACAATAACACACTATTATTTCTGTCTGCATCTCTATTTTAACGTCCTTGTTCAGTGTGAATCATTGTTATTTAAGCCTTTCTATGAGGATCTAAGGGCTTTATTGTCTAACTGTTGCTTTAATATTTTATTATGTGTCCAACTCAGATGTTTTAACATTTAACCTGCAAGATTTAAACCTGACGATAGATTTTAAGATCAAGCAGAAGCCCACACATGATGCGATTGATCACTGCTGTGTTGTAGCTGGGAGGCTGGTCGGAGCGGCCTCCTCCCACCATGGAGGCAGGAGGGAAGGACTGTGAGGAGGAAACTCTGCAGACGGCGTTCAAGAAGCTGAGAGTCGACGCTGAGAGGTAAATAACAACAACCTGCAGTCACTGAACCAGAGACGGGACAATGAGGGAGTTTTATTGTGGAGTGAGATTAATAAACACACAAATAGTTGATTGTGGAGTATATCGTCTTGAGTGACTTGACAAGCTGTGTAGCTCCCTACCATGACAGAACAGTCAAAAATAGAGCCTGGTTTGTTTTGCTTTAAGGGAGTAATTATCACTCTCATAATGTTGTTATTTGAATCCTTATTTATGAATTAAGATTGCAATATTTGAGATTGTATGTTTGTCACTAAAAGGAAGTTCTCTTAAAAACAAAAAAAAGATTTCTGTCCAAAATGTCAGTTAACATGATTCTAGTATGTTTTGGTGTCATTTTCGGGATAATATCGTGAATTCTGATTATTTTGGCCGGGATGATCGTGACTTAATTCATTCCTTTTTAATTAGCTACTCGCGTTCAGACCGTGGAGGTCGTTGATCTCTGTTTTAGGGTCTAAGCCACAGTAGTGATGTTGAGCTCAGTAAGTGACGCATTTGCTGCGATAAAGTTCCTACAAGTTTCTTCCCGTTTCTCTTTTTCTGTCCAGTTTACCCGGAGCTGTGAGTGTGTCGGAGGCCTCGGGTTCCAGAGTGGCGTCTCGCGTTTGTCTCGACGTCAGCGGAGTGAAGCCCAAACTCGGGTGTCCGAAGGACAACTGGCACGGGTTAGTTGAGCTTTTTATTTTAAGACTTAACCTGAACTAAACCTTGTGTTGTGTGACACGCAGCTGTAATCCTGAGGATTTTGTCTCACAACATCTCTATAAAATAATGTTTTTTGTCTCCACTTTGTTACCAAATGTTGTCTCTCTCCTCCATCTTTAGCTGCATGAGGAAGACTTCCAGAGGAGCATCCAGAACCCAGCGGCGCCGGCGGTCCAAGTCCCCGATCCTCCACCCTCCCAAATTCACCTACTGCAGCACCGCGGCGGCCTCCGCTCTGTCGACCTCTAGCAGCGGCCTGAAGCACCAGCGGCTGGCCGCACCCGAGCCGTCGGAGCCTCGTCACGCCGGCGACGCCGCGGCCGTTCTTCCGTCGTCGGCCCAGAAAGAGCTCTCCTCCTCGGGCACCGCCGGCCACATCTCCCCGCTGGTTTTTGGATCTTGCGCTGGCTATGAGACGCGTGTTGCGGCGGCGGTACAAGAGATCCCCGTCGCTGTTGCTGCCGCTGCGACGACGACATCCTCCGAGCAGGACGGAGGATGCTCTGGAGACCAGTCGAGTGAGGAAGGCGCCCCGGAGAAAAGTGCCTGTGGAGGAGCAGAGTCTTCAGCAGGAGGAGCACCATCACCACCTCGGACATCCGCAGAAGCCTCAGACTTCCGAGTGTTGTCCGAGCGCCACGGCGGCGTCTCTGCAGAGGTTCCCCACGTCCCGTGCTCCTGTGCCTGGAAGAAGAAGAAGAAAGATTCAGATCCCCTGGAGGAGATGGGCCAGGGCACCGAATCCGAGTGCCGGTGTGGGTCCCTCCATCAGGACTGGAGCGGCGTGGAGGTTTACTCCTTCACGGGGCTCCGCAACGTCATGTCGGAGAGAGAGAGGAGCCGCGATGACGACGCTCACAGAACTCTCAGCACCAACAGCAACGCCGCCGCCATCACCGTAGCTTCGCCGCCGCCTTCATCGTCTTCATCGTCTTCGTCGTCGGGTTCCCCTCGCTCGTGTTCGGAGCAGGCGAGGGTCTACGTCGACGACATCACGATAGAGGACCTTTCCGGTTACATGGAGTATTACCTCTACATCCCCAAGAAGATGTCACACATGGCTGAAATGATGTACACTTAAGAATAAATATAATATCATAATAAATAATGAAATAATGTCGTGAAACGTGGCCTGGAAGGAACGTCAGTAGAAGAATGGATCAGGCATGAAAGTTGTAGTTTAAATATACAACGTTAGCTGGTTTTTAACCCGGGTTACCCCCCCCCATCATTTTATCTACACTGACAGAAACAAATCTATTTCTCATTTGTTTTGACTTGCAGAAAAAAGATAGTTGCAAACTTGTGAAGCCAAAAGTGTTTTTGACCTGAGAGTCATTGTCTGGATATTATTTCACTCAATAAAGTTTGAGTTTGGAAAGTGTGTCATCGTCTCTTCAGTCAAAGTAGAAACAAGTAAAGACAACAGCAGCTTCCTTCTTTAAAGCTGCATCCTCTCCTCTGACCAGCAGGGGGCGACATGAAGTCTGAGAGAAGAAGATCCTGATTATACTTTCACTTTAGTAACAAGAGGGTTTGTGGCAGTGTTGGCTGGTGGAACATGTTCTCTGTAGGACTGAGCCACATCCAATCAATGTCACCAAACATCCCAGAAT